AACTCGGAGAGTGGACGAATTGAAACAGAGTATGATTGCGAACAATTGGTTGAGTGTTGAAGGTGACGTTTTTTGTGAAAGTGCGTTTGCTAAAGGACACCCTCCAAAAATTTCTCTACGAAGATTAAACTCTTATCCTTTAGTATATATGTGCGTTCGTATTTGCTGAAGGACCGATTGGAACAACCCTTTACAGAGATTCCAGCCTCATAATGAGTTGGTCGGACGCGCTTCGTTTACGTCAATGCTTGTGCGCGCGTCATTGTGTTTGAATGCGCACGTGTAGTAACGACCTTCCGAAGATTCCTCTACGAAAAATTTCTTTCATATGGTGGAGTGCAGCATTGCTCGTCACGTGTGCGTGCGTGTACGCGTGTGTGTTTGGGTGGGTGTGTTTGGGTGTGTTTGGGGGGGGGGGGGCTCACCTCGGCGCCGAGGCGCAGCAGCCACTCCACCGCCCGTAGCTCGCCGCTCCCGATGCAGCGCCTCAGCGACACGTTCATCAAGGTCTGCGCCGCCAGCCTGGGCAGCGGGAGCCCGTGGGCCGGGTCCGCGGCGTCGGCCGGGCGCAGGCACACCAACCCCCACACCAGGCACGCGTGCCCGGAGGCCGCGCTTACCACTGCTGCAAGGCGGCGTCACAGGGAAAACAATGAGCGAGTCAAGTGCACCTGAGAAAATAACACCGGTTTCATCCTCCTGATACCAGCAATTCTTTCATTTACGTAATCCCTGTAGACTGCGGCTTCGGAGGTACAACGATTAGCGTATCGGGCTGCTGTACTCACGTTTGCTGGCTCAAATCGGGTCAAACCGTCGATTTATTAAGGCGCAATATCCTTAATACGCTTTCTTTCGGAGAAGTAAACCCGGCTGTTTCATGTTGTAGATTAACTGCATTTAAATTATCAAGCCTGAAACAAGTCTCCGAGCTAAATTCAAATTGTCTATTTCGTCGTCCTAGTGATTCCTTATTTCTCCGCTAGCTGGTGAGAGCGTAACGAAATTTGCGAGGTGAGATGAAAGAGTGGGCCGGTTGACTTGCGTCGCGCCACGTTAAGTAAGGCATGAACTGAACTGAACTACTACGTGATGACAATAGAAGCAGAGTTTTGCATTTCGTAAACGAGGACGCCAAATCATGATCTATGAATGCACTTATGTATAGTACAAATTCTTGAGAACTTACAAATATTCCCGGGATAATTCGCAATATGCCAGGCGGCACCCATGTTGATTCAGGATGCTCCCGTGATGCAATTACTGTGCAGTACTTTTTTATATAGCCATACATTCTTTTCCATATTCATAGGGCAAAGTACCCTTTGCAATTCGTATATCGTAAAACAAAAAGAACTTTCCAATGAAAAAAACAGGAAGTAAACTATAAGTTTCAATGCAAGAGTGTGGGAAAATTATTCCTAAACATGTTGGCCTCAGATGAATAGATTTCGACATACTGACGGAAACACGCGCACAGACTGAAGGGAATTTTTAAAAAAATGTGTCCCACCTGCAGCGTTGTCTGTGGGCGCCGCTTCTGAATGGGCTGCAGAGGAAGCCGACAGGAGCGCGTCCTGGTCAGCTGTCCCCAATGGCGCTGTCGATGACCCAGAAGCCACTGGCTCTGTTGAACGTCGGAAGTACTTGAGATTTTCAAAGAAATAGTTGTCCAAGACAGAAAAATGCCTCCGAATAAAGGGGCAGAAAATGGTTTAAGAAAATTCATCACGCGCTCTACTTAAGAACAACAAATTATGTACTCTCGTATATCACTGCAACAAATTAAATATAACAAAATCAATTTACACGAATGCTGCAAATTATATGGTACAAGATGTATATTCTTGAAACTCTTCATTGCATTCCAGAAGGTGAAAATATACTGTTTTATAATGTAACTTATTTAAAGTAAATGAGTAGTGGGTCACCTCTTTCTTAGAGATTTGTCGTCGCATCACCAGAACTATGTCTTGAGCAGTAAGGTAATGATTATGAGAAATCAGTCGCTACATACAGAATAAGATTGGGTAAAATAACGCAATCAAATATTTGCATAATTTTGTTAACCTTGAAATGGTTTCATTTTTAAAAATTGAGTTCCTCAGTATATTACAAAATGCAGGGACCTCTTAAACGGCCGGAGGTTAGTAAACGTTCCATCATATGATGCCTTCATTCGAAATTAGTAATGGAGACTAGTGGCTTGCAAACTGCTGCTCACAAAAATCTCACAAAATTGTTTTCAAAAAGTAGCGAACACACTGCACAAGAAATGTTGTTATTATTATTATTATTATTATTATTATTATTATTATTATTATTATTATTATTATTATTACTGGTCGGTATGTCAACCACACACAGGTATGATGACCAGGTGTGTGGTTGCTTTACTGAAGGTTCAGATGGCTTCTGACAATACGGCATGTATTCAAAATTATTATTATTATTATTAATTATTATTATTATTATTATTATTATTATAAATATAATATTTTATAAGTGTTCTATTTGTAATTAAATATTTTACAATAACTCACTTCACTATCAGAACAGTATAGTAGTTATATAAGGATTGACAGTAAATATCGTTTCCCACCAAAAGTAATAGAAAAAGGGCTCTTTCTTTTCTATACTTGCAACACTTTTCCCATTCTTGTTTTGCCCGTTTGTTTCAGGAGTTATCAGGTCATAAAACAACAATGGCCACCTCAAGACACGACACTTTGTAATTCAGAGAATTCTGATTGTTGGGTGTTTTTCGCTGCATGCAAATTTTTCGGGTGTCTTGTGATAAAGCTTCTAAAAAATTGACTTCTTACAAACCTTTCTAATGTACTCAAGAAAAAATATTAAAAATGATATGTAGCGATAGATTTATAATTAATTTTTCTGCACGGATAGGCGACATATTTGTTGGCCTTCAGCACTGTGCGTTTCACTTGAAGGCTTATTTTTCTTACAAAGGTTTGATAGCCGATTGTGATATAATATTTATTCAAAAATTGGAAGCTCTCTTCGATGTAAAGAAAATTTCTGTGAAGTTATCTTTGCTTGAAATGTGCTGCTCTATAATGTGTTACTGCAAGAGACGTGATTTATTCGTATTTGTTGAATTAATAAGTAACAAAAATTCCTAGCTATCGAAGTAGTGGCAGAATCGCGCCGCAGGCTATTTGTTTGAATTAGTTTAGACTCAAGTGTTTTCTAATGTGTTAGTAGGGCAGGAATTCCAATATAATAATATTAAGTCGTCGCTATCAATATTCCGAGAAAGTATGTGCTGTTGTACCATTAGTTTTAATCTCGCTTATGATTCAACGGTCCCATAGCTCCTCTTCGTCCTTTTATGTGAGCCATGCAATGACAAGGAGATCGATAGACACCACAAAGGAGAGTCAATCGATCGTTTGATTGACGATTCGGGCGCGTGAAGAGCTAAAAGGTCATTTGTCCCATAAGGGTAGTGTGTGATTTATCACAATGTAGCGGTGAAATTCCCTTATTAGATGAATAGATCCCGCACCGACATACACGTCGCCTCGATGGGGGGTTTCTCAACCAGGTATTTCGCACCAGCAGAGCATTAACCCAACCAGGACAACCACTAAACTACGGACTCGTCAATCGGAATGTGTAGTGATTTAATGTATGTACGTGTGTAAATACGAGGTCCGGGAGAGGTGGCCCAGAGCATCAACTGGTTTTACTGCCCTGCATCTGACCGGGGTGTCTAACGTTAGAGTGCCGACGTTCACAGGATATTTCACCCTAGCTTGTCAGCTAGATCGAATTCAGTCGCTGTCTGCAGGAGAATTCTAGCGGCCGGCTGATCTGATCAGTAGTTTTCTGTAGTTTCTCCGATCAACACCAGGCGAATGCGGAGCACTACCCTAACAAACGAGCCATGAATCTTTTCTTCCTCTTCCCTGTCCCCTTCCCTCTCCTTGACAGCGACGAAATTCGACCTTTCTATCTGGTGTGGAAAATCCTGCCGCTATCGGAACTCGAACCCAAGGACCTCCCGATCGTTGGCACAGCAGAGATAAATTGATGCTCTGAGCAACCTAAGCTAGTGAAGAGAGAGAGAAAAGACAATAATACGTGTTCTTTATGTCCGAAACCTCGCCCTTGAAGCCATTACATTCAGCTTCATTTTCAGAACCCTGAAAAATTGTCATCACAGCCATATCATTCACAATTCAAGAAGACGTAATAAACTTGGCAGAAAATAAACACGTTGAAGCAAGTCATATTGAACCATATGATTCGTCTTTTGCAGTAAATTGCGCCTTCTACGGGAGTTTATTGTCCGCGCGGAGACGAACTTGGGAAATGGAGTCCACTCTATGCGCTGTACCGCTACACCAAGGAGTCATTCGGCTGTACCTTCATTTGCCTACAATTTAAAATCTATTGTCACTCCCATTATTTCAAACACATTTTCTTCGGAAATTCAAAGAGTTTAACGAAAATTAGAGATACGATTTTTTATAAGATCTTTGCTCTATCCCTGGAAAAAACTTAAATACCTTTAGAGCTGTTTATGAGAAAATGCTTTTTTGCATTGACTTCAATCAGAAATGACGTATCGTTTGCACTAGAAATTTTATAGAACCTTTTGTAAAAACGTACTTTTTAGAACATAACATTTGAAAGAAAAATCTATATCTTTAACATTGCAAATGTACAATATTGATTTTTTTTGGCAATTTTCGAAAATGCAGGTTTGCCGAAAACAAGGCCAGCTTCAATTTTGTTCCGTTCTTTACTATGCACGAGGTGACAATTTAAGGAAAATACCTGGAGCCGTTTTTGAGAAAATTATTGTTAGAAATTGAATTTCAAGCCGACATCACGCAAACCTGCTTGAGGGCGTGGCATTAGAAAACAATGAAAGAAAGGAAGAAAGAAACTGATAACTGTCAGGTACTTATATCAATATTCATCAATAATTGAGGAAAAGGAAACTAGTAAAATATTTCTTTCTCACCATCGTCGGAGGCGTCTGCGTTACAGTCGGGGGCGGGAGGCTGCAGGACCGCGGCGAGCGGGTTCTGGCCCGCGCCCACCGAATCTGCGGTTTCGAGTCCCCCGGCGGCTGCAATTGAGCTGGCTGTCGGGCGCGCGCCGGCGCCCATGGCCGGTGAAGAGGCAGCGAAAGGGAACGAACAGGCTTTCGAAGCGTCCGTGGCGACGGCGGCGCAGCTATTCGAACTCGTCTGCATACAAGGCATGGGAAGCTTATCCGCCAAAGGGATGGAACAAGCCGGACCATCGGCGTCACCGGCAGAAACTACAGAACTCGAGGAAGAGGATGAAGAAGAGGGGAATAACAGAGGAAACATGTAGACGACATCGGGACACCGGATCGCGCCGGGGTTCGACGAGTCTGTTGAAACAAACGAGATGCTTGGGAGAGAAGAATGTCTGGACAAAGAGGGGTAGGACCGAATAGGGGGGAGGCTGGGAGGTGAAGAGAAATGGGACGATGATGAGTAAGATGAGGTGGCTTTGGGTGGGAGGACGCAGAGATCCGTGCTGGCGGGTGACGAGACGAACTCTGTCAATCCGGCAAGAGGTGGGGAATCGGTTCTCAGAATGGAGGTCAGAGAGGCACCGGCGGGTGGCGGTGGGGGTGAGGGTGGAGGTGTATGCGCTGTTGGGCAGCCGATACAAAGCCCGGCCCGCGCCAGCTCGGAGCCGTCCGGGGCCTTCCAGGAATCCGATGCCGGACAGTCCGCATCGAAGGACGTGGGAGGAGTGGGGTCGGAAGTGGGGCCGCGGGCGGCCTGCAGAGTGGTGGTGGTGGTGGTGGTGGTGGTGGTGGTGGTGGTGGTGGTGGTGGTGGTGGTGGTCGGCGTGATAATGGTGCATTTTGCGGGCGTACCGCCGCCGCCGCCTTCTTCTAAAAGGGACACCACTTCTGGCAATACTCTCTCCAGCACCTGAAAACGAAGGTACCGCAGTAGTCTTCCACTGCTTACATTTTTAATTTATTGATTAAAAAAAATTTATTGAAGGTTGCTTTATAACTTAATGTCACCAGCGAAATTTATCATTCTACAAATGGTGTCTAAAAGAGTCTAAAAGCATGAAAAATAAATAAATGGCTCTAATTCTCGCAAGTAGAAGACACAAACTACATGTTCTCCACGTTTTGGAAGTTTGAAGAAAGTGGGAATCGTTCAATTTCCATTTTTAGAATTTTGTGTTTGAAGTTGCTACTAGTAGTGCATATACCCTATGATCTAAATAGGTGTACTCTGTGAAATGAATTTTGGCAGAGTGAAAAAGGGGCATATTTGCTTTTACTTTTTATCGTGACTACTTTGTTGATGCTGTCAGTGCATTTGTAACTGAATAATGTTTATGTCAGTCCCCGTACAGAGAGATAATCATGTCCGGTGTTGGAGCATATTTTAAGACTCCTCCGAAATTCGCTTGGTATTGGTGAAACAAAACAATGGAAAACTGCCGATGAGTACAGCCGACGATAGAAATCCAGACTGGGGCTGAATTCGACACAGCTCAATCCACTACAGTCAAGCTTTGAAAGTTACGAGTTCTTGGGCAGCAATACCTCTGCGGGAACGTGAATAATTTAACTGAGCTATCAGACAATCAGTTCTTAGGTTTGGATTGATTAGGTTAGGTTCTTAGGTTGGGATATGACAAATCATATTCATGAAATAATTGAACATTAATTTATTCGGGATTAGTTTCTGCTATCTGAATCATCCCTACAATATACAGTCCTCAAATAGTCCTCAAATACAGTCCTCAATATACGTCCTCAGAATGTAGGTAACATAAAATTTTCCCTGTCCGCCCGTGACGCTGTTACTGTCGCATAATCCGTGACCAAGTGAAGTAAATCCTAAGTGTGTGTGTGTGTGTGTGTGTGTGTGTGTGTGTGTGTGAAATACTAATCCGAATGAAATAAAATACCGTTGAATTATTTTCAGAAACTTCAAAATTATTCTAAAGAAGTGAAACATAATTTCAAGATCATCTTTCAAAAACAGTTTCATAAAATTTGCAAAGGAAAATGATCGAAAAATCATACGGAATGCCAAAAAATGTTTTGATATTTTAAACTGCACAAAATATTTGGGACTAATTCAACATCTCATTAATTAGGCCATATCTGGTAAGAATTGCCCGTTTAACAGAAATTGACATCGGTTTTCTGAACCTTCAAAGATGTTCTACTAATTCGCTGTGTTACACCAGTACGCCTCAGAACGGTCATGCCACTTCTTTGTATGATAATTTCCGCCATTTCTGCGGTGAATGGTTTATTGAAAGGGTAATGCGGCGACGCTCGAAAGGGCAACGGTTGAATGGTGCTTGATACGATGAAACTACTAATTAGAATGTAATGGCGATGTGAGAAGCAGTGAAACCGAGAGAACGAAAAAACTGACCAGTACTTGCGTAGAGAACGAGATTGCGAGAGAAATGATTATTCGACGTGAGGCGACCCCGAAAGCAGCCTACCCGGTCCACGAACCGCAGCGCCGCGTCGCGTCCTTCACCGTCCGCCTGCGCGCCCACGGACGTCCTTTGCGCTGCCTGCCCGCCGCGCCCCCCGGCGGCCCGCTGCTGCCACGGCTCAGGCGCCTCCGGGCGCTCAGGAGGGTCCGGAAGTGGGGCCAGGCGCCTCAGGTGCTGCTCCAGGTCGTCGAGGCGCGCGTGCAGAGCGTCCAAGTTGCTCAGCGTCTCCTCCACCAGCGGCAGCAGCGACATGCGCAGCAGCTGGCGCAGCGACTCCACGAGCACCTGCGCCTGCTCCGGAGTCAGGCGCTGCGGCCGCCGCGAAGTAGGCGCAGGGGCAGAGGGGCTCCCCGCGCCAGACCTCCTGAAGTCGCATCTCTCCGCGACGCCCGGCCCGGCCGGCAGCGACAACAGCGACCCCATCGGCGGCAACTCTGCGTAAAAACAAAAGAGCAGGGCGCAACGTCACGCATCGCATTTATACTCGCACTGCTCAGCACCGCGCACAACATTCACACTCTCAGCGCCCGGCACCGCGCACTACATTCACACTCGCAGCGCCCGGCACCGCGCACTACATTCACACTCGCAGCGCCCGGCACCGCGCACAACATTCAAGTTGGTATAGTTCGGCACAACATTGATACGTGTAGAACACGGTAACACGCACAACATGTAGACTCGTACAGCGCAGCACCACGAACAACATCCAGACTTGTGCATCTCAGCACTATGAACAACATTCAATTCTCACCCCCCACCCCACTTGTATCACCTTAGCATCTCAAGTACAGTGTCCGGCATGAAGACTTCCCATTAATGGAAAGCAGTTACAAACCAAAAGACGATCAACAAAATACAGAAAGAAGACTTATTTGTGACGAACAATTACTAAGCCGTTTTACATGTCTTGGTTTTAAAACTTAATGGCAACTGATGTTCTTTATTCTTGACACGCGGACAAAGTCTTTCACGGTCGTGGCCCATAGTTCATTATGGGTCCCACGTCATTTCCTGTGGAGTGGCAACCACTTCCTAGGGGAAAATTGCCCCATAGAACGCTTGCAGGGTTGTTGGAGCATGCTTGTACACTCTTGTCTGAAGTCTCCGAAATAAAATCACAGAGTGATAAATCGGGAGTATCTTGGGGGTCAGGTGCCTCGACGCAAAGAAAGAACACGTTCAGGATACAACTCTCAGAATTGATAGAAACACCAAAAATGAGTTCCTCATGTTGAAACCAGAATTCTCTTTGCGAATAACAAAAGAAAAATTTCCTAGAAATGCTTCGTCAATGTGTGAACAAATTTTACACAATTTACTGGATATGATTTTTAAAACCAAATAATTTGAAAAACAGAATTTTTTGTTCTCAAATAAAGTTTTTTCTGCATCTTTGTCTCAGTCCTTTGAAAAAACGGAAGGTCTCTTTGCCGGAAAGAAATCGTTTCTGTCGTTTTCACAATTTAGACGCTAACTGACCATCAAAGAGGAGAATAGTATTCACTTCAAGAATGGTAATTAAAGCATTAGGGCAAATTATTTCTGTACAATTTTAAAAGTTTAAATATGCCTATAACAAATTATGTACTTCTACAGTCACCTCTCATTCATTGAGCGATTGCTAAGTTGCTTTGCTTCTGGATATAAATATAGCTTTTTAATGGGCTCGTGTCGAGCTCTCCTTTTGACAAATGTGAGCAAGAAGTGTCCGGGTGACAGTTCTAATTTTGTTAGCAATACTAAAAAATAAAATCTGGAATACGTTTATAGACGCAAATAATGTTTTTACAACGATTCGGGAGCGAAAATATAGTTTTGAAATGTTCTATTGCACAGTGGAATAAGAGTGGATGGATTATGGAGCTCACGAAAATGTGAGCTCTTATTTGTCTCGTCCAAACGTCACTTATAGTTTTTACTGTTTTAAGCGAAAATGAATCAAATAAAATCAATAGCACATAGGACGATACTTTTGTATCCTGTAGGTAGTAAATTACTTTCGCTAATACGTTGTGAACCGTCCATTAAATTAATATTGAAGTAATTCTTATTCACGTTAATGTAATATTTAATAGTAATACAGTCAATAAAATAAATGCTCAATAGTGAACAAATAACTTAACGAATTGCAATTTCACAATTGCTTATTTATTGATATTTTTAAGACATCATCAACCTGTATTTTTAGGGTATTTATTTACAAACATAAAAGCAATCGCCAAAGCACTAAAAACCGTTTACAGGATTTACACAAAACATTATATTCATGTTTCCACGTTTTAGTCTGTCTTAATTAATTATTAGTTTAAATTTTGTACTATAAAATTTTAAAATTCAATTTACAGCCTGATGATTACAACAACAATCCTCGAAACTGATCCACGATTGTATCCACAATAGAATAAATTAATGTTACAAGAATTCGGCTGTCAAAAAATATAATAATTATATTCCTGACTCACAGTACCTGATGTTGCAATCCCTTTAATTTAAAACGGATATTACCTTATTTTGGGAAACTTTGAAACGAATACTACATATTTTAGATTTTTTAAAACTTGACTTACATCAGAGCTCCATTCGGACTCGTCCCAATGAATATTAATTAACTGAACAGATAAACCGAAATTGACTTACTTTAGTAACAAACAAACAGTCGAAGGTGCAATAGTGGAGGAGTAAGGTGTTACTTATTTCTAAAAAAATCCAAGGAACAATGTTGTTAGCAGTCCTGTGAGAAGTAAATGAATAAACAATGAACATTCAGGAAAAAAATAAACAGTCGCACGAACTCTTATTATGGAATATCGGAAAACTTTAATGAAATAAATATCAGTATATTAGGCAAAGAAAATTCAATGTATTTTACACAATATGAGTGATTACATAAACGTTTTAAATATAACAATATTAGGAATTTGGAGAAGGGATAAATAATTAATATTATTTTCATTTTTAAATTGAAGTTATAGCAATAAAGAAATTAGACAAATATAAATACAGTTATAAATTGGAATGTAAAAATATACAGCGAGCTTGACAAAGAGAAGAATTGTCGTTTGTTTCAAACTGCGCGATGTAGCAATGGCGAGGCACCAATACATATAGACCGACGGGTTTGTGATTTTGGACTGGTGACATCGTGACGGACGTAGAGTCTTGATTTAACGTATGTTTTTCTGTAAGTTTGAAATTTCGTAAAAGTGACGTTTTATTACGTGAATTTTTGAATCTGGAGTTTTTAATTTGAAATTTGGACAAATAGAGAATATGATCACCGGAACGAGTATGGAATATGGACGCAGGCATTGGCAGCGGTCGGGGACGGCGCCATTACGGGGTCAAGTGTACCAACAACCAGGGACGTGGTATAATTTTATGAAAACAAAATTATATCAAGGCCAATACTTAAGATTAGTTTAAGAATAAAATTTGTGACACCTTCACAATTAAATCAATATTTTCCCAAATCTACAGACATTTTTGTACTCGAACTCGTGTGGTTTCGTTAAAATATTGAAATCTTCGAAAACCGTAAATGTTGAACTTTCTTTATAAAGAAAGAGTCGATAAGGTTGTTATGCTGACTCAGGCAACTGGCGACTCCCTCTAGCACGAAGGAGTAAAAAGTTGTTCAAAAAGCAAATTAATTATAATAAACAACATTGTTTTGCCATTTATTATCTCGTGGGCACGTGAATAATCCGCAATACTAAATTGACACTAACGCGGCTCTTAAGTTAACATTAGTAATGTTAACACTACAAACATTTATATTAAGAATTAGGAGCACGTACTTTCTCACATTATCACTGAATATGCAATTTTCGAAACTCTAGAGAGTTCAACAAAAATTAGACCTCATTTTGGGATTTCCTTGTTCTATCCGTGAAAAAAAAGCATTAAAGAAAAAGTTTAAAACATTTTTGAAAAAAATGTTATTTTTTATAATTTAAATTTATTTCGAGAACAAAATTACGCGATAACGCCTCTTTTTAAAAAAACATTGCACGTGACCATTTAGAACAGATTTTGTATAGACCTCTAGCCTCAATTTTGTAGTTTTAAAATGGTACCTTTTTGTAATTTTTGAAGATACAGAGCGTTAGCAGAAAATGTGACTAGAACTAAATTTTTCTTCCTCTCATACAATGAAGAAAAGATTAAAGAAAAAATTGGAGAAAATTTTGCGAAAATAATTGTTTAAAAAAATTTTGAATACCTACATTTCAAGTAATATTTCTCAAACATTACTCTTATTTTCTTAGAAATGTACATGACCTTAGTTCAAAATATGTCTTTAAAGGAAGGATTCAATCTCTGTCTTCATTATAGTAGTTGTTGGAATAGAACGACAAAAAATTAATCTTTTGCAAATTTTGAAAAATTAGAGATTTCAGCAAAGATTGAGAGAGAATTGCTGAAAGAATAGAGACCTGCGCGCCTTTACGATAGCGTAAATCCCGATCGCTACTCGGTATCCGCGTAAACGTCCTTTACGCCAACCGAGGGAAAACTTCCTTTCGGGGAATATCAATTTTTGAGAAAATCAGCTGACTTCGCCTCATCGGAATTCGCTTAGGGCGCGCCTGGAAATGGGGTTGTCGGAGAACGTAATTCAGATCATTCGCTATCGCGACGACTCGTGCATTGCCCGTGACGCAGCCTGACCCTCTTCCTCCCTCCTAACGCGTTCCGAATTATGCTCGACGGCCCGCTGCGAGCCTTGGGAGCCCAACAGTGGCGCATCCTCTCGGCCAAGGGATAAGCGGTTGTGTGGTTGGCACAACTCCTCTTCTTAACTTTAGGGTTGGGTTTCTCGTCACATAGCATTAGATACGTACTTGGTAACGTAAGCGCAGAGTAAGGAATTTGCCTCGCCCGAGACACGAACCCGAAGGTGGCGCCGCGGAAAGCGAGTACGCTCACCAACGAGCCACCCGAGAGGGCCCCTACACGTACTGTGGCATAATGTATCACCCACTGATGGGACTAGAAAGTGAATTGTGCGGTGGCAGTCAAAATATCCGATCGATGGCGAAGCGCGAAACCTACCTTTCGATCTATTCCGTGTTCGCACGTATTTATTAGTCTTTGGCCTCCCACGTCAGACCCTAGTAGCTAACTCGTAGGTTTCGAAATTATGAGTCTAGCAGGAGTGTCGAATACCCAATCCGTTCGAATCATGACTTCATGTAATTTCCACGATCCGCGCCTAGCGGTTTGAGTTCACCTGCGTACTTTTTGGAAACCTCTCAATCATTGCTCGTAATAATTAAAATTTTCCGGTGAGGACCCCTGCTCACTCTAAGAGCGGGGGGGGGGGACTTGTCCAGCTCGAGTACCGGCACCGGGAGAGGTGGCTCAGGGCAGAGAAGCGTCTCTGACCTGCAGGTCCAAGGTTCGAGCCCTGACGTTGGCAGGATTTTCGACTATAGCTTGTCAGCTAAGTCGAATTCAGTCGCTGTCTGGATATTTGTAGAGGCCGACTGCTTTGATCGGTAGATTTCCGTAGGTTTCTCCGATCATCACCAGGTGAATGCCGGAGCAGTACACTAACAAACAGACCACGGACCGCTCACGACCTTTCCTTCCTCTTCCTTGACTACTCTTCTGTCCTATCCTGCCTTACACACACATTTACATGCACTACACTACCACACATGCAGGGAGACCAGTCGGGAACCTTGAGCTTGTCCTGACTGGGGTGGTGTTTCGCTGGTGGTGGGAGGTGGCAAATACATTGTTGGAGAAAAACCTTGATAGCCGCCGGTAGGTCGGCGCCGGAACTCGCCATCTAGCGGGAATTCATCGCCACTTCCGGGGGGGAAACACGCACTTCACTTATGGGACTAATGACGTACTATTTAACGCGCCCCGCCTCCCCCACACCCCTCCCAACTTCACACGTTTTAGTATGTTATGCAGTACGTACCAATAAACAATCATGCCAAGTTTCAAAACAAGGGGGAAAATCCCCCTTCGATCGCCATATTTTTGGTCTATTTTAACTAGGCATCACTCGGCATTTTCGTTGCTGTCCTTTCGCGAACGTATTTGATGTAGAGGGAGAATATAATAAAAAATAATGTCTTCAGTGCACGTTTTCTCGTATTTTTCAGTAGGAAATATTTGTATTCAAATTATAATTTCATTTAATTTATTTCAAATTGAATTTGAATAATTTGACTGACTAACCACCCGACTGACTAACCACCCGACTGACGAACCACCCGACTGACGAACCACCCGACTGACGAACCACCCGACTGACGAACCACCCGACTGACGAACTATTTGAATAATGAATCATTTGAATAACGAACTATTTGTATAACAAATTATTTGAATTATTTTTAATAGTTCTCTTTGTCCTGAAGTCATTAATTTGATTCCTTTGCAAAGAGCACGATAAGAGATAATAGGACAAATCTGCAGCTCAAATACCTTTGAAAATAGTTTCTATTACAGAGGATGAAATGTATTTGTATCAATTGTTGCCAAAACTGTCGTTTCCAATATCCATATTTCAACTTTATACAGTAGGCTAAGATAGTATCTCCAGAGCTCTAGGAAAACTGCAGACGGAACTTGTACTTCGTGGTACGTCACACAGTGTGTTTTCGGACGAGAAATAACATTTATTATATAAGTAGATAAATAAATGAAATGTCAGCTTAGCAAACACGTGTAAAGTGAAGGAAGTATCTAGGAAGAGTTTGTACGGCTCGTAAACCCGCGGAGAAGAGCCAACATCACGGGTCGGTTGAAGATTGCAAGGTTTCAGTGATCTTGTACATGAAAATAAACTAAACATTACTTTAAAACATACGATAGAAATGTCGAGGTCTGAACACCATCAATCAAACAGGGATTTATCTTTGGATTTGCGATATGAATTCGCTTACGTATTAGCTTGTGCCTTTCCCTAGAATTAATCTCAGGACACTACCTCATTTTCTGATTTGGTTATTAAACCTATCCTTTAAAACAAGGTCAGCGGCTAGGGGGATATTTAAAATCTTTTACACTCAATTTCACGAAAAGGAACCTGAAATCTCTTTTTGAAAACATTTATTACTGGAATTGTATTAATTGCTAAGACTAAATAGTTATATGCTGAAACGACTAGTATCTTTCTTCATTAAATACACAAATGTATATATTTTTTTAACCGAAGTATAATATGCTGAAACTTAATTTGATAATTCCCTTGAAAATGTCCTGCCCTCAACAAACCAACTGAAGGCCTGTCCCTTCAAAAGATTATATGTATGAACTGAAATTAAGACTTTAAAGCAATTTCATGAATTTCTAGTTGTATCTAGTAACGAGTTTATTTTCACAGTATTCATGCGCCTATTTACAAAACAAACAAATTTCAATAGTAAATATATAAATATACGAATCAAGTCGTATCTGCTTATTAAATCTTACCTTCTTGTCAAACAAATACTTTCTTAGAAAAAACGTATAATATTACTATTCCGAAAATTTTAATACTAATTTACCTTAGGCATGTTCTAAGCAAAACGTGCGATGAAATCGTAAACAGGTACACTCAATATGTTCCATACTTAGTTGCGTGCTCAATTGCTTGTTCATTGCTCACGTTGCAGGCAATCAAAACCACGGTAAGAACTGTCAGTGCGCACATTTTTGAAAGTAGTGAAGTGTTGAAGGGAGACGAGTAACGCAGGAATAGTTGCTCAGAAACGTGTCATAGCTTCTGTCAAAACATAATTATTTCCCCATAATATCTCGCAACGGACGTTTCCCTCAAGACTAAAATCTCCAAAACAAGTCAGGAACTGTTCACGGAATATCTCACAAAAGGCTCTCGATCTAACAGGCGCCAGCACACAAAATAGTTTAAAAAACTTATATCCAAATTGTTAATCCAAGCTACTAGGTCAGATTGAAGCAAACACACTCAATCAAATCTCAAATCAAATGGATGCAAATATTCACTCACGCGCACTCCAACGGGCAACGCACCACCAGTCCACCACCTGAACACTACTACCAGGCCTTCCACCCCCACAACACATCCCAGACGCAACACATACCTGAGATTCAGCGCAACGCTCTTCCTTTGTATGATGCTGTTGGGCACACGCGGTTTCACAGTGAAGCACGACAGTGAAGACAACTTCTCGCAATGAAGCGGCGCACAACACCGGCACCAACCGACCCTCGACCGCTCCTAGCGACGGAGGGCAGCCAAATGAGTCACACGGCGCTCGGCTTGCCGCCTCCGTTGCCCCGCCAGCCCCACTATCACAGCTGTGTCATCCCAATGCTAGAGGTGGGCACTGCGGGGCCCTCCAGCTGACAAGCGCCATTTTACGGCGCACGACTGCATACCTTCCTTCCTAAGGTGCAATTTCCTAAGGGCGAGAAACGGAACATAACATCACTACATACTTTGTAAAAACTAATATTGTTCCGATGCGATGTTTCACTTAACGTAACAATACACTTAAACAAGGAGTATTGGAAGCAGTATAGAGGATTTGCGAGGGACTTGGTTCGTTTGGGAGTTGAGTTCACAAGACCAGTTCCGATGAATCTCTCTGCCATGTGGGAGGGGTGCAAACCCCAGTGATTACCCTGTTTTCATATGTAAGTTGCCAATTTACATAGGTAAGGCATACTACAGGCTAATGATATATTTGTACATGCTTCTCGATGACGTAATAGGACAAAATTTTAAACAGCATTTACTTTCTCCCCCGTATTTTTACGCAAAATTTGGCGAAAATAACTCGAATTTTCCAAATATTATTTCAAAATATATTTTTAAGGAAAAGATTTCATTGAAGGAAAATCTCTATCTTCATCATTGTAGTTGTAGGAAGGCGCTGAAAAACTGAGTTGGCTGAGTTTTAAACGAAAATGAGACGTGCAGACTCTTAAACGTCTTTCACACAATCCAACAAAAAAAATTAATAAGAAGTGAAGGAGAATTCTTTTTTGAAAATTTTGAAAACGTCTCAAGTTTTGGAAACGTCCCAAAATATGTGTTTCAAATTCAAGAGGTTGTGACATCTGTCAGATCGAATGGGGAATATCAATTTTGGAGAAAATCGGTTGAACGATTTAGCCGCTAGCTTTGTTCACAGACGAATGGACTGACGGACGGAGAGAGACGTTTTGCCTTCATTCGATTTTGAGGTATCAAGGACCTAGAAAACATGGATTCTGATACACCACATGATAAAAATTTCTCTTTCTAATTTTAGCAACTGGATAGCACTTTGTTGTTACCAGAGCTCTGCAATGAGAGTTTTTCTGTCAAATATACCCCGTTTTTTCGTGCAGCATTACCTAACTATAACTATACTCCGTAGCGAGAAAAAAAGAGTTTGGAACTCTTGATCGAGCATCAAGACGTACATATACCGGCCAACTTTGACATTACAACCTAATCAGTCGCCCTCTTTTCAGAACTGGAAATTAATTTTACAAAATATCCTTGACACTGATACAACTATGCAATTTCATCTCAGTCTGCCTTGACACCCTTTCACGTTCATTAACTCGTACCAGAGAAATTCTGATCTTTCCATGAGCTCGGTACTGTCCCTATTACGTGTAGGCATTTTCAAGGACAGTTTCGAAATTCCCTTCTTGGAGAATAAACATCCTCTTCTACAAAAAGTAACGTACTGGTACCGCCGCGTCGATGATGTTTTAGATCTATGGACCGGCACAACAACACAACTTGACCTATTCGTCGAGTTTCTCCAGATACCCATCCATAAAATTAACTACTAAATTGGAAAATGAAAATAAATTTATTAAATTCTTCGACCTAACCTACCTAGAACTAAAAACAACAACATATTTTCATTGTTTTTAAAAATCCCACACACATGCACTGTTGCCCACAGCACATCCCAACATCCATCAGCTCACAAATACGCGGCTGCCCAGACCATCATTTACAGCCCAGACCATGACTTCCCAGCATCCTCTATCACACGTATGCTACTGGCCGGCTTGTCTGATCTGGGTTTCTTTGTGGTTTCTCCGATCAACACTAGGCCGGAGCAGTACCCCAACAAACGGGCCATTAACCACGCGCGAACTTTCCTATCCCTTCCTTGTCCTATCCTCATCCCTACTCTCTCTCTCTCTCTCTCTCTCTCTCTCTCTCTCTCTCACACACACACACACACACACACACTGACATGGCCTACATTACCACATATTGTGGGAGATACCAGGTTGGGCCAAAGACCGCTAGCCGACGGGAAGGTCGCGCTGGGAGATCACCCTCAGCTCCAGGGGGAACAAAGATGTACTGCACTTTCGAGACTAATGACTATACCCGTTGACGCTCCCGGAATTACAAACCACTCAATCAACCTATTACAAGGCAATTTTCAAAAGAAACATACACTAGTAATCTACCACGAATGGATACAGTTCCACTCTCATTGAAACCATACTACGTCGCAAATTAAATAAGAAACTAGTGGTGCTAATCAGCACGCACTTGATCGCATATTTTTAATTGGCAATTTTTTAAAATTTAGAGCGTTCAACAAAAATTAGACCCGCGCCATTCTTTTAAGCGTCCCTTCTCCTATCTGTACAAAACAATTGAGACAAAATGAAGTGGTTTTCAAAAAAATGTTTCATTTTATAAATTGCATTCATTTCAATCACAAATTACGCGAAAAAACTCGTTCCTTCAAAAAACTTGTTCACGATCTTTTTATATTCTAAGACAAGAACCTTTGTCTTCAATTCTATATTTTGAAATGATAACATTTTTGCAAAATTTAAAGTACGGAGAGTTTCTAGAAAATAACCGTTACCAGCACTATATTTTTTACCGTCTTTTGATACATATGAGGAGATAATTTAAAGAAAAATTGAAGCGATTTTTCAGAAATAGTTGTTTATAAAAATTAAAATTTATCTGTGTTTGCGCAAAATTACACAAAACTCATATTTTCGAAAAATTGAACATGACCATATTTCAAGATCTATCTTTAAAGAACAGATTTCATGAAAGAAGCGAATTTCTATTCAATATTATAGTTGATGAAAGACGCTCTCTCAAAATTGGCACATTTGTAATTTTCGAAAAATTTGTGATTGCATCATTCTCTTAAGCGTCCTTCACGCTATCCGAAGAAAAAATGTAATCAAACAATTTGGTGCCATTTTAGAAAAAAATTTGATAATGTTAAGACCTCATGTAAAATATCCTCAAAATCAAAATACCCGTTTGAAACTCCTAAAGCCGTGAGTTCTGTCATATCGATAGGGGATTATTAATTTTTCAGAAAATCTGCTGATCGGTTTAGCCACTCACGTTGACCACAGACGGACAGATAGTTGGACGGACGGACAGCCAGATCGACAGGTTTTCCGGTCAATCGATTTTTCGGTGTGAAGGACCCACAACGCATGGAATTTGGCTACCAAGTGGGAATGGTGGACCAAGTGGGAGTTTGGCTACACCTACATACGGTGCACCACGATACGGTGCATCGTATATTGGAGGAAGTAAATTACTGTATACAGGAACATGATTTATCTACTTTTTCGTTACCATTTACTAGGGCTTATCAATAAGAGAAAAACTTGCCCTTTTCAACCGCACACAATCACAATACTTTCGTTTCATTCATTAGGTCGAAAAATTGCAAACTGAGAACGTACACAACTCACAAACCAGTCACCCAGAAAAGTTCAATATTTATTTATATTTATCCTATTCTTTGGAAAAATGTCCCAAAAATTAACTCTCACAAAAACAATATTCACGTTTCTTTTATCACACACGAATACCTTTCCAATCCAATTAGCAATCTAAAACTCTCTTTAACAAACACAAATAAACCAATTTCCCTGTGTCTACTTGCTAGCCAATTTACACATCCTTCCCTCACAACCTGACCCTCCTACCTTCAATGCCAAGAAACTAACGAGACCACATCCGACCCTTTAACCGCAGCTCCAGAAACATATTAAAACCCCATATCAAACGGACCTCTGCGAACTATCTCTCGAGTTTCGCCACATACAGCCAGGAAAGTTACTCAACTTTTCATTTCACTTTCTTAAATTTCTTTTGACGCTGTCTTTTAATATCTATTTTAATTTTAATATTTGTATTATGTTCTTTTTTATTGGAAACAATTTTTAAATGTACTTATGATAAGTTATTTATTTGTATTGTTTGAATTCTTTATAATTTTTTAAGATCTTGTATTTACTTTGTAGATTTCGAAATTGATGGAAGCAAAGCCGTCGAAAGTCGGCACTCTGAATGAACCTATTTTGACAAAGATCACTTCAATTATTTCATCATATAATAATGTTAAGAACACCTCATGAGCATTCCCACAATTAATAGAGCGGGTGCAGTGTGGATGGAGTAGTACCCAGATGTGAATATTTGCTAAAATATATGTTAAAAGTGAATCTTTAAGTAGTTAACCATTAGGGTCTTGTGCGGATGATCGAATATTGTAACAATCTTGACATACAAGATAATACCAAAAATTATGGGTCGCATTTAAAAAAAAAGAAAAGTAATAATTAAATTGCACAAGAACTAATCATTCTTCAAATATAATCCTTTGGAGACGATACATTTTTGTCAATGCGATTTTCTTGCCTTCTTTAGTAAGTAGTAAGTCCTTTTCACACTTGAGCCCCTGTCACACTTGATTCGATGTTGTGTAATGTCGTGGAACTACATGACCCTTTTTAGCCGATGATATAAAAACAAGTGCCGGAGTAAAGTCCGGGCTATTGGGCGGTTGTGGAAACGTTGCCTCACCAGTGCGGATCAGGGATCCTGCGACAACGAAGGCGATGTGAGCCACCGTGATGTCGCGCCAAGCTTCCGCGCTCCTTTCGGGCGCGAGTGATCCTGGTATTCAGGCTCTGGACCCTGTGTAGACAGAATCCTTGTTTTGTGGATCCAAAATAACAGAAAATCTTTACGTCTGCCCACCCGCCCGCTCCTGTGAGTATCAAAGGACGGTAAAAGAGTGCCGCGAGTCCCATTTCCAGCGCATCTTCTGTATTTTTGAAAATTTGCAAAAATTTTGCATTGCAAAATCACATATTTGAAGACATATTTTTGTCTTAAATGAAATCTGATCTAAATTAGTGATGCAAAATAATAAATACTATCTCGCATTATTTCTTGCTTTTGGACCTTCGAAAATTATGAATTCGACGTAAATGAGACTTGCAGCAGTTTTAAAACGTTCCAAGCTCAATCCGTGAAAAACGTCGTAGT